GATGTTTGAAAGGATAGGAGACAATACACCACCCTGAGGTGCACCACTCGTACAATGTTTTACCGAGGAAAAAGATTTATCAATCCTAACTTGAGAAGTGCGGCCAGATGAGTGATTCAATCTACTGAATAATCCTAAGATGGATAACCGCATGCTGTATGTTATGCAACAACTATCACGACAGACTTTATCAACGCTTTTGTTTTGACCGTTCACCTTCGTTTTTCGTTAGTTTACCACTATGTAACACCCTTGCTCCTATTTGAGAGCAAGTACCAAATTACCGTGCCTTATGCCTTCAGCAGGCCATCTTGCCTGCTCCTGACCGGCAGAAATTGGTGTCACCGTTTGCTCTCGGATCAGTTGTCACTATTATCGAGAGGGGTTCAGTAAGAAACACTAATAAGCATCCAAAAGGGTAAAGGATAAAGTCTTCGCCGTTGATCAATCCCTTTGTGGGATGCGGCACGCATTCTACTTCCATTCAGAATCGTAGTGGCTTATTGAATGCGATGTGGCCTATACAATGACTTGCGGTGGCCAGCCGATGTACAAGTCAGTGTTTTATCCTCCCAGACGAATCTGGTACCAATTTACCGTCCCCGGAGGGTAGAAGGCTTGGTTGGCCTGGGCGGGAGTCGACCCGGGATTTGAACCCATTTTTCCCAACAACTGAAATCTTGTGTCCCTCTCAAATGGCTCGCGTTTTTCACGTTCATGTTTTCCGATTTGCGAAAATGGTTAGTGGCAAGCTTACTGTACATCAGGTGGTCCCTGCAAGACATTCTACAGGAGGCAATTGCGCTTGCCGTGCCTCTGCTATGCTAGGTGGAAATAGAATACGCTGCGCAATAAACGATTTATCAAAGCCAGAAGCATTATAATTTGTCAGTTACGCCTTTCTGAGGAATTTCCGCTTTAACCTATTTTTTTCCGCAATCGCGATTTTCCCCATGATTCAGTTCCCTAAGTTACAGGAGCTGAGTTCACGGCTAGAGCGCATGCCTTGAAAAGGATTTTTTTTTCAGCCCAACCTCGTTGTTCTCACTTCAAAGCCTCGTGTTGAGCCCTTGAGCACTGCACCTAAAGCTGGAGCCGATGCGGTGTTGCGTCCAGTCACTGTGCAGAAGGTGGATTGCTTTTGGTTCCGTTATAATCACGTCAGTCGTTTTTATGCAAAATGAGAAGCATTCATCAAATGTATCGTCCAGTAGTGATGCCATAGAACCGTTTCGCCTCGACTAGGTGACAAAGAGAAGCCATCTTCTGATCATATTGAAGTTAATTTCAGGGAGCTGGTAAAAAATTCACGCCCGCAGAGATGGCAAAACGTGATGAAGCAAAGTAGTAAAGTGCACCTGGGATGTTCAAAAAGCCCTTCTCTTCAAACTCCCGCTGAATAGGGTGGGACTTCATGAGATTTTTCTGTACAATTACATGAGATTTTTCTGCCCCACATTACAGTCGTGATCCCGCAGACGAAGTAGGCGGATTGCGGACTTCATTGCAACGCGACGGCGGCTGTAATCTCCTCTCTGCACAAGGCTGCGCCTCTTTTTCTCTGGACTCTGCCCTTATCGACGACTACCAGCTGTTTCCAGCCGATAATCTTCTGAATTTCACTATTATTCTGCTTCCTAATCGCCATAATGATGAGGTAAGTCGATTTTATTTACTCTAATTTTAGGCATGATTATATAGATCGTTTTTCGCTGCCAATTTGAGCTGTTGTAGTGGTGTTTTTGATGATTTTAAATTTTTTGCGTGTTTCTAATTATTCTTGAACCGTTGCACCTTCTTTCCATTGCATTGTCCCTGAAGTGTCCTTAATAGTGTCGAGGACCCTCTCTGACATAGTTTTGGAAGATTAGGTTGCTTAGAATAATTAAACAATCAAGAATAACTAGAAACATGCAAAAAAATTTTAAAACTATCAAAAACACCACTAAAATAGCTCAAATTGCAGCGAAAAGCGATCTAAGCAGTCACGCATAAAATTAGAGCAAATAAAATAAACTTACCTCATCATTGTGGCGATAAGGAAGCAGAATAATAGTAAAATTTAGTTGAATATCGGCTGGAAACAGCTGATTGCGCGGTGCAGCCGTCGATGCGGGCAGTGTCCAGAGAAAGAGAGGCGCGGCCTTAAGCATAGAGGAGCGCAGAGAGCACGAGACTGTGGTGCCTGCTATCCCGCCACGGCACGAAATCCAACGAGATTACAGCCACCGACGCGTCGTAATGAAGTCCGCAATTCCGCCTACTTCGTCTGCGGGATCGCGACTGTATATAAAGAGACACCGTGAGCGAGGTCACTTGTGTTGTTAAGGTGTTGAATCTGTTCTTCCATATGAGAGGTCGTACGCGAGACAACCCACGTCTGAATAATATGCTGAGCCTTATTCCGACTCGTTTTAGTGAGTTTTTTCTCTTGTTCTTTCTAGTCTGTTTGACACACCCCTGATCTCAGCTGGTATCTTCGGAGAATTGTCAGGTGAAAATCCATGGATAATGCCACATCCCTCCATCCAGTAGTAATCCCGGTCCTCAGATTTTTCACGATGTGGTTTTGTGACCTCTCAAATATCATGAAACGTTCAGCCATGTAGTACGTGAAACAAATCGGAGCGGTTCGAGCAAGTCTCTATATGAAACATTCCCACATTTCGATGCAACACAATAGTTTAGAGGAGCTGCCCCGCTCCTCGGAGATCTGAACTCCCTTGAGACCACCAGGTTTTCCTTATGGCCTTGCTACGCTTTGAATTTTTCCCAGATTATCCCGAGAGCCCAAATATTTAACTTCGTGAGAAGCCATCTCAAGAACGTCCCGCCCACTCCTGGTGTGTCTTCCCCAATTAATCTGCCAACATCTTGTGAACATTGTCTACTATTTTCCCATTTCTGGGCTGCTCTAGAGGCGAATTATGAATTTTTGCCTTGGCGACGCCAACTTTCGACGCATGCCGCACCCACTGTGGGCGAGGCTTCGCATAGGTCAAGTGTGCTTTTTACATTCTTGTCCCATGCCCTACCCATCCCCACCTTGACCCGACCTCTCCAAGTCGTTCTTCAGGTCGAACCGAATTTCCGGACAGACAAACAAACAAACAAACAAACAAAAAAAACAAACAGACAAAGCAAATTATAGTGTTAAGACTTGCAGTTAACATCGGCTGACTTTGGCAACTTTTTTTAGTACAGATATGCATGCAAATTTGAGTTGATTTTATTTCATTTTATTTATTACTGCAACCAGTAATGTAATCGCTGGCATAGCAGTAGCGCAAATAAAACTACAATAGAGATGCAGTACAGTAAACGAAAGAAAATCGGAATTAGTGCGGCTATCTCACTGTATACGGATACAACGCGTTCCAGCTATGGAGGGAAACGCTATCTAAGAAAAAAGTACGAATTTTTACGAGATTGACCAGGAACCTGCAGAGAGTTATGTAATGAGCTGTAAAGCACTATAGCTACAGAAGATTTAAAAGGGAGTGGTGGGGCGAGTACCTAATTGAAGACGTAAGGGTAATGCGCGTCTCGTATACCAAAATAGTGGGTCCGCTAAACCTTTCTTTGGGCCCAACGAAGCAGGGGTAGGAGTGTGGACTTAGTAATGGACAGTTGCATACTGAAGCATAGAATGATGAAAGAAAAAGAAGAAGAAGCACCAGGTTTTGAAGCATGGCTCAATTTTTGATTCGTGTGTTACAATTATAAAGACACAGGCATGCTCTGAACTGAGTAGAAGGCCCCACTGACATATCTAAATCGTTTGGCGAACCGAAGCTAACGTTCCGAAATACGCTGTTGTTGTTTGATTTAGCTTCTAGGTGGATTTGAAACTTGTAAGAATGTCTGCATTTGAAAAAAATTGACAGTCAACTTCATTCCGAAGAGGTATTACTCTAACAAAGTTCGTTCGAAGGCACGAGTTTTAGGTCTGTCTGGTCGCAAGCGGTGAGAATGCCCTCTGGATAACCCAATAGACATGAAGTTGTCGTTAATTTAAGGTCAATCTCATTATTCATAATGTTGATGCAGACTCGATTAGCTCTCGACGAAACTCTAAAAATTCACCATTCATTTTGCAAAGTCGCTGGCTATATGTACGACCAGTTTGGCTGGCGCACGCTATGCGGCCTGATGAGAGCAATGCGGAGCGATTCACTTCAGTGAATCACAACTGATGCCAATTTCTATTCATTTGACATTCATGGGGTTCCTACAGAGCTCAGTACGCTACGATATAGTGTGAGGATACGCACAGCATATCCTCACACTATATCGTTGAAATCGGTTATCCTAACACCCCCCACCCCCCCTCCCCCCCGTATACCATATTTGTCCGGAACACAACGGGAAGCATATTTCACTTGAATTTTTGATTGGCGATTTTGATTCTTTCCGTTTTACGCGCATTATATGCCCCCATCCCTCTTCGTAAAGGCAGAAGTGAGTTCACTATGCACTCAGCCTGGGAAACCCAATACTTGGAAGTGTAGTGGTAAGGAATGAAATGATGATAGCCTCTTATCTATTCCTATCAACTGACTGATATAATCGCCTGTCACCTGTCACCAGTGTCCATATCTCCGAGCCTTTATGGTTCGCTGGTATGAAAGATGTACAGCCTTGAAGAAGAGTGAGAGTGACGGCAACAGAACCCTTTATCAGCCCCCATAAGTTGTTAACCCTCCCTGTCACTGGTCAGTAATATCCCCGTATAACACCTGTGTGGGAACCACGTTCTTACTGTTACTGCGGCAGGCGGTATGAGCCAGACGACGCTTGGGTTCTTATTCCCTTTTTCGGATCTTATCAGTACTTAAAACTTTCTACCATCCACCACTAGTGTTCCTGGAACCAACGCAACACCAATACCGCTACCCACCAATAATGTCCCAGTCGGACCAGCTACATCACTTATCAATTTCCGCTCTCCATGGCTAAATCAAAGAGAGTTATGAAGTTCCGGTCAAACTTTACACACCACACCAACAGGCAAACTTATTGGATCAAATATAGTAGGATAAGGACCCAGGAACTATACCCTCGCGCATGTAGCAGCGATAAGTGGAAATTGAT